TAATGTAAATTTAACTTTAGATTTATACATTAATTTTATTTTGAATTAGATTAATTAATATTAATTAGTTATTATATAAATTTTAAAAATAATGGAAAAATTTTTATATATTTTTAAATTTCTAATCGGATTATATTACTAAAAAGAATAAAAATATGAAATATGGAAATCATAGGATTTTGTAATAATAGAACATACAATGTGTCTCGCAATAGAAAAAAAAATTAATTGCCTGCGACCGTGACAGGACTCGAACCTGCAATCTTCGGATCCGAAGTCCGACGCCTTATCCATTAGGCCACACGGTCAGTTGTAAGCTGTGACTTCAACCAAGTATATCAGGGAATTTGATCGATTTTCTTGTCGCATATTAAGCTTAAAATATTAAAATTAATGTGATTTTATATATAAATGCTACTAAAAAAATCTTACAACGCATTCCATAACATTATAATTCACAATTTGTATTTAATAGCATTGTTATATGTATATTGATTCCTTCCTCAACAAATAATCGATTTACATTAATGATGCATTTACTCGAGCGAAATAATTATTAATTCGAATTTTATCCAAAAGATTTATAATAATTATAAGTAAACTTTTATAAGTAAAATTATTTATTTATCATATTACTGACAGCATTATTATTAATCATTGGCAATGGATAAATTTTTTCGTGACTTAACTCTGGAACACGGATAGAATGTTGATATTATCGACCGTTTCAGTCATTATTAAAATATTTCTATTATCTAATTTTTATGTATGCTAATTTATGAAGCATTTGTATAAAAATAAAGAATGTAAATACTGCATTATATAAACTAAATATATATATTATTCAGATATATTTATATCAAGTCGAGCAATTTCAAGAAATTTATATTGGCAGATCAATATAAATTTTTCTATCTGCATCATATCTCGGTAATATTACTTACCTCATTTTCTCTAATCTCCAATAGATGGCAATACGTTCAATTTTTGTATGAGGCGTTAAACATTTTTGGTTAAGTTATCAATTAAAATTTGTTAGTTACTCGAACGTCACCACAACAATGACAACACCTCTTCAAACGCAGCTTTTGAGTGCTTTAGGAAACAAAACAAAATATCTTGCGGAATTAAAGAAAACATTCGCGCGTCCATTAATACAACGTGAGTTATTACTTTGATTAAAAACTATTAATTGTTTTAAAGAATTGTAATTGAATAAGAGTTAGATTGAAATATTAAATTAATATTGTATAAAATTTACATAATTATGTATAACAAGAAGGAACAGGATATCTATGTCATTTGTATAATAATTGTTTAAAATATATAGTTGCAGTAAAAGCAATAGAACTGGAACATGTAGAAGAAGGTATATTAGAAAGAATAAGTAAAAAATATAGCATATCTGAAGAGCATGTAGATGAATATTATGCTGCTATTCTTACAATTTTAAAAATATATCTACGTTCGCAATGCCATAATATTAAACCTGTGGAATTTAAACAATGCTTAGAAGAATTGAAGTAAGTGTACATATATATGTTAGGTTTTGTAGTTCAGATGGCTCTTATAGCTTGTGACAACATTTATATTTTTATATAATAAATAAATTCATATTTATAACAATAATTGTTATAAAGAATAATAATAAAAAATAATTTTAATTATATATTTTTTTTAATAGCATCTAAACAATTCTATGGAATTATTCTTTGCTATTTTTTATGCATATTACAGATTGAATCCAGAATGTGTGGAAGATTTATCCTCTGTGATTTATGGTCCAAAACAAGCAAACTTGTTATTAGGTTTAATTCAAAGAACAAAATTTAATCCACAACTTATATCTTGCAAATGGCGCATAGATATTACAATCTCATCAAAGTATGTTTGGATTTTTTTTTAGTAAATATTTATCATAAAATAATATTTTACAGAGAATTCTAATATATTTTTCCATATATATTGCAGTATATTAAATAGAGTATTAGAACCAACTATTATAATGGAATGGATTTTCAATACAGGCGAATGTGTTACTTTTGAATTATCTTTGGCAAAATTTCATCAATTGAGACATACTGTAGCTACCATTCTCGTTGAGTTACAAACACTGGAACGGCATAGCATTTTTAAAACTATTCTGTCTAGCTGATAGTAACAATCTATTTTAATTTGTTAATAGCAATTCTGAGGTAACAGTTTGTTCGGTAATGATTTATTAATTCTAAATTCTAAGCTGTATGAAAATATATAAATATTTACATTTCTACTTTCTT